CTAATTTTTGACGCGTACAGGGAGTGTTTACCTCTTTTTCGATGCATGTCAACCTGATTCGCGCACTGGGAATGCTACTCTGGCTTGATCTGTGTATGCTGTCAATTTCAGTGCGAGTCTAGTAGTCCGTCAAGCGAAGTCTGTTCGTATTATAATGCCAGTCAGGATGCGACCTATGGAACATCCGTCAAAATTGGAACGATAGCAACGGCTCCTGCGCGAGGATGAATCGACCAAAGCGAGAAATGGCCAAAAGAAAAAACAAAGCAACCCTGGGACCTCTGTTTGCCGTTGCATTTTCTTGTCTCCCCTTTCATAGCACCGTACGGCAAAAGAGAATATTCTTATAACGAGTTTTCTTTTGTGTACGAAAAGAAAAATAAAACAAAAAAAAAGAGGAAGTCGCTGACTGTGCTTAGTAATGCAAGATTTCTGCTCGCAAGTAAGACCAGTCACGTCTTAGGTGCTCGATAACTTCAAGAATGCACTGCCGAACTGAGAGGATAAGGAGAACTGTCGCCAGCACTTCGCAGCAGCGAGTCAGTGACGAGGTGCGTCCTCGTTGTCGTCATAAACACAATTCCAACCACCTTAAATTGATGAATAAGCAGACAGTGACTGTCGAAATTAGCAGCACACCTAATTTTCGTTTTGAATAAATCATACAGGGTTCACGAAAGTCCCTGCACGGACGTAGGAAAACATCCGATTTAACACAACACGTGGCAGTTAGAGACTCTACACAGTCCAGCGATACCACACACTGTCGACGAGTAGAGGGTCCAAAGAACACAACTCTCAGCGCAGAGACTCGACTCCCGCTAGTTGGAGAGTTCGAACAGGGCGTAAGTCTAGAAATCATACAAAACAGAGGGCAGGATTCATCAGAAGAGAGAGAGAGAGAGAGAGAGAGAGAGAGAGAGAGAGAGAGAGAGAGAGAGAGAGAGAGAGAGAGAGAGAGCGGGGCTGACGAAGAGAGACTACACGGGGTATAAGAAACGGAGAGAGACAGACAGAGAGAGAGACAGAGAAAGACAAAGACAGAGACACAGAGCGGGGCTGAAAAAGAGAGAACACACGGGGTATAAGAGTCGGAGAGAGAGAGACAGGAGAAAGAGAGAGAGAGAGAGAGAGAGAGAGAGAGAGAGAGAGAGAGAGAGAGAGAGAGAAGCGGGGCTGAAAGAGAGAACACAGAGGATATAGATATAGATTTGCTCAAAACAGAGGTGTCGAAAAACAAAGAAGGTCGTGCCCATGGTGTCAAACGTTTCCTCTGAGAGGTCGAGAGGCGTTTCCCGAGAGGGACAGTGATCGAGCGAGAGAGAGAGAGAGAGAGAGAGAGAGAGAGAGAGAGAGAGAGAGAGAGAGAGAGAGAGAGAGAGAGAGAGAGAGAGAGATTGGTACAACGCCTGCCTGCGGGTTAAGGAGCGATTGTTACACCAAACATATTTTACAATTTTTGCGTTCTAGCCGAAAGATCTGATGAGTGCCCGACATAATCTTAGCTAAAAGTCGTTACCTAAGCATACGAAAGATATACATTTGATGACTGGTGGTACCACCCAGAGCAACCGGCGACCTTGCTAAACTCGCGAAGCACACATCCCCTCTCGCTCCGACTTAACCAAGGATCGTCTTCCCTCGCTACTACCCGCTACTCTCTACAGGACAACGTAACATTACGCAGCGCAGTCTCGACCAGACGAGAAGGACGGTTGTCTTCTCTGTGTGCTTGGCAGACCGGATTTTCGAAAAGACTCCGCCCGGCGGACGACAACCCGTACACGACGAGTGCAGTGAGATCATCATCAGCAGGCCAGCCAGTCGATGTTGAACAGGAGCTTGAATTTCTGATCCGAGGAGTCGAGCGTCATGACGGCCTTCTTTCCATCCACTCGCACCTCCGAGTTGATGTTGAGGTTGGGAGCGTTGTTGCAGTTGCTCCAGATGACCCTCGGSAGCACGTCCGTGAACTCGTAGTTGCCTGTGAACTTGCCCTGGATCGTGCGTGTCGCGTACGACGTCCCCGTCTGTCCCGATATGTAGTAGCTCGTCTGATAGGTGCCCGTGGAGCTGTAAYCAATGTCCGCGAAGCCGCGGCCCGTCACCTTCCCCAGCGTGAAGCTGAACCCGTTGGGATACCTCAAGCCCAGCGAGATCTGGCAGTTCTTCCGCTTGCCGGCCAGCCCAGAGTCCGTCGTGGCAATCATCCCGCCGAAGATGACGGTGAGGACCTTGTAGTCGTTCGACCACGCGATGTTGGTATTGTCCCAGTTGCAGCCCGAGCCCGCGTAGTTGACAGAGTCGATGGTCACCAACGGAGGCTGCGCTCGTGCGGGGCCCGCAACACACATTACCGCGACCAGAAGCAAGGCCGCCATAGCCGCCACTCCATTCACAGAGCGCGCCATGATCGTGGTCTTCAGCTCCGCAGTCCGCCTCCTCGCCTTTCTGCCTTGCGTACAGTTCGTCGCGTCCTCGAATCCCGCGCTCCCTCCCTTCGACCGACTTCACGCGGTGTCCTCGCGCACCCTCCTCCAGTCAAGCGGTGGATAAACTCTCCAGTGACGGATGGAACGACTACTCCGAAAGCGGTAAGGATGATGAAAGCCGGATGCTATTGGTGCCGACTCACATCAGTCTCGCCTGGTTATATACACAATGCCAGCACTCGGCTCGCTGAAGCGTGATTCGCTGGTTTGTTGGCAAAGCAGTGATCCCTCCGCCGGGAGCCTTGCCTTTTCGAGGTGGGAAATGTCGCCAACAGAGCTGGGGCACAGTAGGAGCATGAGTACGTGGGTGAGATGCGCTCAGTATGCGGGGGCTAGGTCCCACTTACACGAATTAAGAGATATTGACCGTAGATAGCAAAGATCAACGGCCAAAATCTCTTAATCCGTGCAAGTGGGACCTTGCCCCGGGTCCCTTTACCCAGCTCAGCAAAGAGTTGATTAGTGCGTCCCCGCACGGGACACGAAACGAAAAACGAAACGAGTGCATCTTCCTGCAGACAATGGCCAGGTTCATCGGTTTGGTATAAATAGTAAGGAGTGTATTTCGCCACCTTTCGTGGGCAGATGCACTCGTTTCGTTTTCCTTTCGTGTGCCGTGCGTCGAGATCCTTCCAGAACCGAGCCCCACGCTTGCTGACTGGTGTGTTTMGAGCTTGACATCAAGAGAGGAGGAACAAAAGCTTTTCCTAAAAGATAACGACCAAGTCAAAAGAAGCATGTCTCAGGGCCTCGCCACACCACTCTCGAAATRWGCAAAATGAGAACGAACTTCCCGCTAGAATATGGCCAGATGCACCCGCCAAATGTTTGTCTYTTTCACATTTCGAGAGTCCTGTGCCGWGGCCCTCAGTTGGTATAGCCACGAACTGTTGAATYACAGACCTGAGTTCTCATCAGATGAACAAAATTCCTGATGGTCTCTCAAGGCTGTCGCCCTTTTTCAGAAAAAAAGGGAAAAAAGACGATTTTCTTTTTTGTCATACATATACAGGACTCGCCGCATTGGGGAGCTCATTGAGAAGGGGTGCTACAACGGCCCCATCTGCCCAGCAGTGGGACCTCTGACAAGGAGCGCTACAACGCCCCCATCTGGCCCCATCTGCCAAGGACTCGCCGCGTTCAAGGA